GCAAAGAACACTTCCATTTTGTTAAATTTTAAAGAAGAGCATGTCCACATCGCACTCTTAAGCAGCTTTGGTTGTGTGCTAAAACTAATTTGATTCTAAACCATCTAAGGAATTACCGCCAAGATTAAGAATGTTGAGAAATATTTGCAAGATACAGGTGTCCTTGACATACAACTACAACTGAGGCCAAAATTTCTACTGTTAAATGAGATAATTGTTAGATTAGTTTTGTTTCATTTTATGACCTTTCTTGTCACAGTTATTGAATGAATCACTGTAGTTGTTTAGACGTAGTTGTTAAGTAAATCTGGCTTCGCCACTGTCTTTGCTCATCAGAAGGTCACAAAAGTGACCCCTGCCTGGACTCTACGACTGTCATAAGTATGAGTCAGTTTCCAAATGGCTGAATTTTGATCACATAACATGGAGATATTGCAATGGTTGTAAATGTGCATTTTTTCAGTGCCATTGTAATTTCAAAGGATGACAAAATGAACTGTTGTAAGTCAAAGACTACTGTGATAAGTCTGGGATCCAGGATATTGTATCATCCCATCTTACTTTCTGTCCGAAGGGCAACAACCTCCAAACAACCTCCAAACTCACATGTATTTCTACATCCATATATTTTTATACATAAACATTTAAAGCATTAGAATGCACTTAAGTCTATGTATAGGCATAACAGCCAATTTTAAAATAAAAATTCCTTTCTTTCTCCTAAGTTAGTTTGTAATGTCTTCTACAGCTAATTTCAACAGTAGCTTTAGGATTGCATACTTATAATACTTATGTAGGATACAAACTATAGAAAGGTTTGAAATTCAGCAGAAAGTTCATTTAAATGACAGGTTTCGTCTTCTGCAGTTATTTTTCAGTGAGTTTTTTTAAAAATGAAAGGTACCACACAGTGATGGGTTTCAAAAAATTTTAGAACCTCTTCTGTAGGTGTGGACTGCTTTGTGGGAATGGCTTGCCAGCCATGTGACTGGGTGGGTGTGGCCAACTTGTAAAATGTGGTGAAACTCACTTAACAACGCT